GTGGGTTGCGTGGGTGAGAGTTTTGAATTTCGACAAGGTTTTTGGGGGGTTGGCTGGAAATCGAAAAAGTAAGGTGGGTTGGCTGGAAATAAAAAAGGTTTTAGGGTGGGTAGGTCGGAAATTGAAAAGGGACGGGAAAGGGTTGGCCGGAAACGGAAAGACTCGGAAATCTGATCGGGGTTCATGGGTTTCGTGGGGGTCGTGCGAAGTTGATGTTGTTGGTGTGACAAGGAGGGGAGGCGGCCGGAATAGGAAGTTGGGCAGGAGGGGAGGTGGCCGGAAAGTGAAGTTGGGCAAGAGAAGGTGGCCTGAAAAGGGAGGGGGAAAGGGAAGAAGAAGAAAGGGGAAAAAGAAAAAAAAAATTTAAAAAATCAAGGGTAGGTTAGTAAATTAACTATATTGAGTTAAAAGGTTAGCCATAATTTATTGGTTAAGTCTAATTTAATGAAATAAGGATACTATATAGAGTTTTGCAAACCTATATTGCCACTAGAAATTATGGCATTTTATCCAAATAGAATTTGTGAAACCCGGAGGCTACTATGTAGAACTTTTTTTTTTTTTTTTTTTTTCTTTTTAATCATATGTTACTTACTAATATATATTTCTAATTAGATCATTCCTGGGCCATATTTGGTTATACAAATTAATAGCAATTGAAATATATAGGTCTCAACAAAATGTAACACAACGGTCTTAATAATAATAATCAAATACATAATTATGAAGTTTTTAGGGAAATTAATGAATCTGTAATAAAAAAAACAATTTTTTAACATACACGTATAGTTTAGGAGGGAAAATTCTCTCCAAAAAACTCCACTTTAGTAAATGTGGTCTTTTCCTAATCTTCAGGGTGAATCGAAATTTTAAAAAATCCCGAGTATCCATCTAAATAGCAAAAGAACTTATTATTAGCTAACCTTTCCAACATTTGATCAATAAAAGGGAGAGGGAAGTGATCTTTCTTGGTGGCAATATTTAATCTACGATAATTAATGCACATACGCCATCCTGTTACAGTTCTAGTGGGAATCAATTCATTTTTATCGTTTTTAATCACAGTCATCCCACCCTTTCTAGGAACTACCTATACAGGACTCACCCACTTTGAGTCAGAAATAGGATAGATAATACCTGCATCAAGTAATTTCGTAACCTCTTTCTTGACTACTTCCTGCATGTTAAGATTTAACCTTCTCTGGGGTTGAATACATGGCTTGTGATTGTCCTCTAAGTGTATCCTGTGCATACAAAAATCAGGGCTAATACCCTTGAGGTCATCAATAATGTACCCAATTGCCCTGTTGTGGGTTCGAAGAACTTCAAGAAGTTGGGAAGTTTGTAGGTCATCAAGTGCAGTACTAATGATCACATGGTGTAATTCCTATTCATCAAGAAATACATATTTTAAATGAGAAGGGAGAGGTTTTAGTTCAGGTTTCTTAACCTCTACAGGTTTTGATTCTTGAACTAATTTTACTATTTTCTTGCTCTCCTTAGGGTTAAGGCCTTCAAGTGCGAGAGCTTTCTCTATAGCATCCACTTCACTGCTCCAAATACCAGCATCACCTGTAGTAAAATCACCACAAAGTACTTCCTCCAAGGGATCCCTTTGCAAGGATCTATAGTAAGCTATCTTCACAAATAACATCAATCACATCAATACTACAACAATTTTCCTCTAACATAGGACCTTTCAAAACCTTCCCTGGATTAAAATTGATATTATCATCTCCGACAGATAGAGTTAATTTTCCATTTTTTACATAAATAATGGCTCCTACAGTGTGGAGGAAAGGACTACCTAATATTATTGGAATTTGTGTATCCTCAGCCATGTCTAAAACAACAAAATCAATAGGGATAAAAAATTTACCAACTCTAACAGGGACATCCTCTAGAATACCTAAAGGGTATTTAACAGAACGGTCTGCCATTTGCAAAGTAATGTTAGTAACTTTTAAATCACCCATATTAAGCTTTGAACACACAGACGATGGCATAACACTAGCACTGGCACCCAAATCACATAATGCTTTATCAATGAAGACATTACCAATATGACAAGGAATAGAAAAACTACCAGGATCCTTTAATTTAGCTGGAGATTTATTTTGCAAGAAAAACTCCTGCAGTGTTGGCTTATTTTTTGGGTTGGCTTATTTTGGTTTGTTGGCTAATTTTAGGTTGTTGGCTTATACATTCTGGGTTCTATGCTGATACATTATTCATATCAGTCATTCAAATGAACATATCAGCCAATTGATGTCTGATATCAGTCAACAATAGGAACATAACATACATTAATAAAAAAAACATATCAGCCAACAAAAAGAATATATCAGCCAACATAAGATAGATATCAGCCAACAAGAAGAATATATTAGCCAAAAAAATGTACTTATCAGCCAACAGAATGAACATATCAGCCAACAAATGAAGCATATCAGCCAACAAAGGATAAAATCAACAAACAAAAGCAACAGGTAAGCCAACAAAATAAACATATCAACCAACAAAATGAAACATATAAGCCAACAATTAAAATATACATATCAACCCACCAAAATAAAGATATCAGCCAACTAAAGAACATATTAGCCTACTGATGTCTGATAGCAGCCAACAAAAAGAATATATCAAAAATTAAACAAAAAACATATCAGCTAACAAAAGGAATATGTTAGCCAACACAAAAACCATATCAGCCAACAAATGAAACATATCAGCCAACACATAAAATATATCAGCCAAGCTTGTCGCGCGGAAGTTTTGTGTGGCAGTCCGCATCCAATACCTTCTCAATATATAATTATAAGCTTAAAATTATTTTACGTTAAAAATTGATAATAATGATGGGATATTCAAATAATAATTTTTTTTATCCTAGTGACTTTCTCAAATTAAAGAGACTATGACAATATTGTGTAAATTATTTCAGTTTTAAGCCAATCGATCAACCGTTAATATAATTAAATTTCTCTAATTATGTCAAGGTCGTTTATGATTTATTTTTATATTTTTTTTACTAATTGTTTTAATTTTTTTTTAATATAAAATAAAATAAAGAGGAGTGTTTTTGGTAGTCCATAAATTGGACACAAACTTTTTACTGCTCTCTTCCCTCTTCACTTATAAAATAGTTATAATCCATTATCTTCATCATGATATGCTCTCATAGTTCTAGGCCTCTATCCCTCGTTTGTCTTACTACCTTTATGTCTATTTCTTAATCAATGCATCAATCTAAATTAAATTTGTCATTGAACAACTTGGGCCGCTTATATTTCTAAATGTCAATTAATTAAAATGATAAAACTTTGATATCATGTATGAATATATAAACTATGACTTATTGGACAAAAATCATTTTTCATATAGATTTTGTACTGTACTCCTTGCATCTTTATTTTTTTTACCCTATTTGACTTTTTACAGTTTCCAAATATACAACTTTATTTGTATACGTGTAAATATTATAAAAACTTGTTATCAATAAAATATACGATGAGAGGAATCTAACACCCTATATGACTATGTTATCTTTTGTTAATTAATGAGAATTTATGGTCAAATATACATAGTGATAAATTTTTAATTCAATTCAACTTTCAATAGCCTATACATTGCACAGCCCAAAAGGATAGGTTTTATTTAAAAAGGATGAAGAAAAATCAAAAGTGAAATGAAACATTATTTAGCGCTAATAATTTGATTGAACTCTAAGTATAGATATAGCTATATATATACATTCTAATTTTTGTCAAAAATCTTGTATCCAAGTAAAAGTCTCATTTAATTTATTTTTTTCTCATTATTTATTTTCTTTATTTCACTTTTAATTAATCAAATCTCAACCTCTTGTATTTTATATGTTAACCAATTTAAACTCCAGTATCTTTTTTTTATTCACCATTTTAATTAAAGAGAATATGCAAATTACAAATGAGACTTTAATTATTTTGACACGAAATAGAAAATATAAAATTTTATGTTTTCTCTCCATAAGATCCCGATACTAAGGCCTTGTTCTCAATTAAATTAAAAACAATTATCCGTAGTTATCAAGATCGAAAATCAATTTGTAGAAATCATTTTTAAGAAGAATAAATTAACAATAAAAAATATGAATGTTGCATTGACTCATGCATGAGGAAATACGGTCCAATCTTCAAAACATTTCTTACATGTTAAATTAAATTTACGGTTACATAACTGTTTGTTACTAGCTTAGGTCATTTTAAATGTAGGATAACATCAGATTGCACTTGTCTTTACAAGTTTAAACTGTGATCTGATCAGCCTCCAATTTGCACTGATATATAAGGGTTATTATTGTTTGTATAATGGAAGAAAATTCTAATTAGGTAGTAAGTCTAGTCTAGTAACTATATATCACTAAATAAATTTTATTGTCAAAATAATATACTTAAGGCACGCTATTCGAGTAAGTTATTATTGACTATGTAAATGTACGAATTAAGCTATAAAATTTAAACCATAAGCAGCTTATCATCTTCTTATTATCGGTGGTAAATTTTTGTCAATTAATTAGTTTGTCTGTTTACCTAGTTTAATATTTTCCTTAAAGTACATGCTAAAGTAATGGTGTGTTACAAGTAAATAAAAATGGAGGAAATAGAGGTTTAACAAAAGAAAAGTCCAAATGAGTTAATGAGGTACACACATACATCAGGATTATTTATAAATTCTAAAAATTGTTTCTAGATGTTGCATACATCATAAGGATAAAAGGCAAAAATGTTGGATTTTTGTCTGAAGGAAGAAATTTCAAAATGATATGGTCAGAAGCAACGAAAAGAAAGAAAGTTTCTAAAATGTATGGCCCCTCTTCAACTCATGACCCAACAAGTCAATCCTCATGACTTGACTCAGCCGTTTTCACCCCCACTTAATAATAATACTTCCATCCTTTATATTATTTTCTCAAAATATATATTACAACAAGTATATATTTCATACAACAAAAGGAAAATAAATACTAATAAGTTGCTATTATATATTATTATAGTTTTATGGAGGTTAAGAGCATGAAGAGTTGCTGTATTCAGGATGATATGCAGCAGGAAACAATGAGTAGTAGCAGCAAAGATGTAGTCGTCGTCGAAGGAGGTGTCGTCGACGATCATGAAGGACCGCTTCCAGGGTTCCGATTTCATCCAACGGACGAAGAGCTGGTGTCGTTTTACTTAAAGAGGAAGGTTGAGAAGCGACGTCCCCTTAGTATTGAGATCATTAAGCAGATTGATATCTACAAGCATGACCCTTGGGACCTTGCAAGTATGCATTATTACACTCTTATTGATTATATAGATTTGAATTATAAGTTTCTTTACTTTCATTTTCATGGATAAATTAAGTGTAAGATTATTGTGATATTCAGATATACACGACCTTACCTCTGATCATAGTGATATTAACAAGAGAACCATATAGCTGTAAGATTATTGTGAAATTTAAATATACACGACCTTACCTCTGATCATAGTGATATAAACCAAGAGATGAAGAGAACCATATAATTGTAAGATTATTGTGATATTCAAATATACACGATCTTACCTCTGATCATGTGATATAAACAAGAGAACCATTTACTGTTGAAATTTATAAGATTAATTTTAATCATTTTCAAAAATTTATTATAGGAACATATACATGTTCTTTAGTACAGTGCATGCTAATTTTTGTTACTAGTTGCATGTGAAGCACGTATGGAGTAGTATAGATGAAATCAATCTATGGATTTTTCATATGAATTTTATAATAATACAACTTCGAGAAAATTCATATATATAAAAATTTCAAATACGATCAAAAAATTTGGAAATTTTTTCTTACAAAATTTTTCTTTTCATTTTTCACTCTACTTGTTATACGGAGTAACATACTTCATTTTAATATATGCGTCATTTTAGCTTTTACATATAAAAACTTCTAATCCAATATACTACGTATAACAGTTATAATTAATTTTCACATGTATTTAATGGACCAGTAAATTAAGTTTTTAGTTGAGTTGGTCCTTTAATATAGTATTAGAGTCCGGCCCATGATTTGAAACCTTTAATGGCTTGAATAATGTGTACAGCCAAATTGAGTGGATCCATGTGAAGGGGAGTGAAAAAATGTGCTCTATCCCATGAAACGTCACATAAGATGAAATTTAAGAGACCTTACATGTGAGGGGAAGTGTTGAGGTAAAATTTTCAAATAACACATGCAAGTGTCCCACATTGAGAAAATAAGATCGAGAGAGTTAAAAACTATAAGGCTAAGATGTCACTCCTCCTTATTGTCATATGGCTTTAATTTGGGATGAAACCTCTTTTGGTCTTATGAATGAACACTCTCTCTCTTGGTAACGGATCGGTGCGGCCTAGACTCTTATTTAACAGATTTTCGTAGAGAATCAAATATAACTCGGATCTTCACAACAGTTATATTTCCAATTTTTCCAAATGCAAAACAGAAAATACTTGGGGAAAGATGTACAATATTATTAACAAAAGTTTGCTACCAATATAAAGTAAAAAGACAAAGATTAGATCAGTAAGATCACCCTATTTGACCATCAAGTGTTAGTATGTTGTCAACTTTGACCATGTCAAATCATATAGTATTATTTAAATAATCACTATTAATGACCTATTGATCGACACTAATAATCTTTGAAAATTTTAATCATATACAAACCCAATTAGGGTTAATCTTAAAATCCTATAATAAGAGAATCTAAATTGGGGTTCCATTTTGAAGTTAATTAAACTTAAACATCACAACTCACAAGTGAAGCAGCTGATAAGGCTTATCCGTCGATCCTCTTATTTCTTCATTATTCATGTGGACATTTTATGTCTAAGTTTATTTCTTTAATATTTTTTTTATATGCAATATTTTGACTTTTAATATTTATATTATATGATCCACTTTGACTATATTTGATGAATTATCGATAAAGAAAAATATAATCATGCATGATTTTGTTAAAGTATATGATTTATAATGATGTAGATGGCTTATGGATCTGTACTTAAAACATACTTTGTACATACTTTCCCGAAGCTACATAAAATGTGACCTGGGAAATAAAGCTCCTTTCCTTATGAAAATTTTACATTGATTGTTTGAAATATGACTATTAAAATATTTTAATGATTATGTAGTTTATAATTGACATACTTTTCTCCAAGTAATAAATTATACTACGTAGGGGTGTACAAAAACTGGACCGGACCTGAAACCGGACCTGAACCGACCTGATCCGGACCGGACCTGACCCGGACCTTTTGATTCAGGTCCGGTCCCGGTCCTTAAAAATCAAGGTTCCCGGTTCTGGTCCGAACCCGGTCTAAACCCGGGGTTTTCAGGTCCGGACCTGAAACCCGGAAAAATTGTATTTTAAAAAAAAAAAAAAAAATTTGGTACTTTTGTGCTTTTGTGATTAATAATTTTGGTTTGTATGTAATTATTTAATTATGCAACAGGTCTAAAAATCACAAAACAGGTCCATACGCAGGTCCATATGCAGGTCCAACAAGTTTTTTATAAAAAAAAATAAAAAAAAAACGAAAAAATCACAAAACAGGTCCATTCAGGTCCAAACCTGGACCGGACCTGATTTTTCAGGTCTAGCCCGGAACCGGACCTGTTAATTCAGGTCCGGTCCCCGGTCCTCATAATTACCCAATTCAGGTCCCCGGTCCAAACAGGTCCGGTCCAGGTCAGGTCCGGTTTTGGACCGGTGTACACCCCTAATACTACGTATTACTTTATTTTTAGTATAAAATAGTATTATTCAACAATATTTTTTTAATTTTTCAAATTTTTAGTTTCATTTATGTAATTTTTATTTTTTACTTTATACTATCTCGAAAAATATTTATTTTATGTTGGATTAAAATAATCAAAAATTATATTTGCATTGTAGATATTAGAAGACTAATTGTGTCCATAATATAAATAAATTATAATATGATAGTCATATTTCAAACGACCATTGTAACGGATAAAGTTCCTTATATGTTCCTTTCCTTGGATATATTGTTTCTTGTATATGGTTCGTTAGTTGCTCTTTCTGTTTATGTAATTATATGCTTTTATATTTTCCATTGCATTTATTGTTTTGATCAAAAGGGAGCTATAATTCTTTCAAAAAAAAAAATCAAAGGGAGCTATAACGGATAATGATATATAAAGTACTTTGTAAAATTCTCCATAACTATATCACAAGCTACACTTAGCTCATAAGGAGTATATTTTTATTTTAATATAGTGCTCTAAACTCAATACATTTACGAAGTACTCGTATATGATAATTAAGGGCGTATAATAATTATAATCTTTCCATCTTCAACTATCTAATCCTTAGTATCTGTATCATAATTATCAATATTATCATAATCTATGTTTAAAAGAACTAAGATTTTATAAACGTGAATTGCAGAAGCAAGTAGCAGCATAGGAGATAAAGAGTGGTATTTTTATTGCAAAAGAGGAAGAAAGTACAGGAACAGCATTAGACCTAATAGAGTAACCGGGTCTGGATTTTGGAAAGCAACCGGAATCGACAGACCGATCTACTTCAACGGAGGGGAAGGCCCCCAGTGCATTGGCCTCAAGAAGTCACTGGTTTACTATCGCGGAAGTGCTGGAAAAGGCACAAAAACCGATTGGATGATGCATGAGTTTCGTCTTCCCAATGATCTACAACAACAAGATGAGGCTAACTTAGCCAACCCTAAGGACACTGCCCTAGAAGCTGTAAGTATATGTGTTCACGTTATGTGTTTGCACTTATTTGATAGAGTATGCAGTGAGTTAATTGCATATAGAGATCAATTTTGATAATTGTATATAGAGATCAATTTTGATACAAGTAATTCCTTTAATTATTAATTAGATAAATCATACATGCATGATAGTCAATATTATATTAATTGGCGGGACTAGTATTAACGGGCATGCATGGTGGTTAAAGAGACCCGCCTTTAAAATAAAATAAAATAAAAAGAGAAAATTGCAGTTAATAATCACAAATAAAGAAGTAGTATTACATTTGACTTTTTCAATCAAATATGAGTTATGTTGAAAATTACCAATATTTATTTTATTTTATTTAACCAATGTTTTAGTCGAATTCTTTTATTCCTTTCACGTTATAAAGCAATATAATTCATTATTTATGACCTATATAAGCTACTCGATTAATACTTTTTAAGTTGAATATTAAAATTAAGGAGTATAAAGACAGGCATGGCTTATCATTACTCCTTTTATTCTATGAGAAGGTACTGGATGCGGCAAGCCGCACCAAACAATCCATGCGAATATGTGTTATTTAATAGAGGATACGTACAGTTTTGTTGTAGGATATGTATTGTTTGTTATAGGATATGTAGTATTTGATAAAGGATATGTACAATTTATCTTTGCTAGAGGATACTACAGTTTGTTAGAGGATATCATCATATATCCAATAGAGGATATCATCCAGCCTATAGATGATATAGGAGACATAATTATAAATGATGTCATATAGCCAATAGATGATATCATCCAACCAATAAAGGATATCATAGACACAATTATAAATGATATCATATAGCCAATAGAGAATATCATCCAGCCATGATATCATATAACCAATAGAGGATATCATCCAGCCAATAAAGGATATCATAGACACAATTATAAATGATATCATATAGCTAATAGAGGATATCATCCAGCCATGATATCATATAGTCAATAGAGGATATCATCCAGCCAATAGAGAATATCAAAAACACGCTGGACTGATGAAACATTTGGTCAGTCCGGACTGACGTGTTATTCTATAATGTTCTTCTCACTTAGAAACATTTTGTGAGACAAAGTATATAGGTCAAAATGAGAAAATCAATGCAAAATGGATGAAATAAAAAAATATATAATTATGTATAGTAAACACCAATGTGACATTATTGAAAAAAGAAAGTCATAAAAAAAAAAGGTAGTCTATTATAGCAGCATTAATTTACGAGGCCACTCTTTCAAAATAAATAAATATAAAATCCTAAAAAGTTACCAATATATTAAGACTAGTCAATGGCTCAATGCTCTTGACTAAATATTACATTTTCAAGCGTGGCAATTAATCAATTTTAACTCGTTTGGTTAGAAGGAGTATTAAACTTAAAAACTAGAGGCAACTCCTCATGCATACACACTGACATTTTTTTATTTCTTTTTTATTTGAGAAGTCTTAAAAGATTGTCATACGGTATCTACTAACAACTAACAATAGACAAACAATATTTAACAAAGTCAAACAAGAACCAACCATGATGGGAGGTAAGAATTTAAATGCAAATATCTAACCATTTGTCACATTCTTAATTCATTGTCTCATATAACTTTATAAGCGTATTCATCGCAGCTTCTGAGTTTTGAGAAGAAGAGAGTTCTTGTGGTAATCTTTGACTTAAATTTGAGCAATCAAAATCAATAATCGTAACCTTGTATAACTTGATATATACCAGAAGTCCAATAACAGAGAACACTCACACATAAGTCATCTACAAAATCAGAGATCTAGAAACTCCCACAAAAGGAGATTGTTTCTGCAAAAGAAATTCGAGATATGTGAGTGAGGAGCCTGCTTGTCTGGTCAAATAGAACCTGCAAAATAAAGAAAGTCAACTGTCTCGGGGGGTGTTTTTGAAAAGCCCCTCCGACGGTCAAGTCAATTAATCATTTAGAAAGAGAAAGTTTCTAAAGAGTACGTGTGTGTGTAGAAAATTAATTTTCCATGTTTAGTTTTCTCCTTTTATAAATAAAATTAGGGTTTTTTTACAGGGGAGAACTGTTTCATTAATAATTAGTCCTATGGCATCTTGCAACAACAATATAGATCAACAAACCACATATTTAGAGTAAAAAACATAACTTTTACAATCCAAATCATACTTTTTTTTAAGCACATCTCATACTCGCTCCACCGCTTTAAACTTGACACGAGCAATGATTTTCGATGTCTTTGCATCTTTCCAAGTTAAAATCCTCGCATTCTGCACTGATGTTCTGATTACAGAGTTGATGATAATATCTAAACTCATGTGAATCCAGATTACCTTCCCAATTATTAAAACCCTATTAATAATAAAAATCTAACCCATAGATAAAATCAAAATCTAGAAAACTGGGAAGAAGACTTTCATAGATAGAGAAAACAAAACAATAGAATTGAATAAAAGAAAAAGGGTCGAAAATAATGTAATTTTCGAAGAAATTAGACTACTTCCAGAAACTAAAACACTAGAAGAAGAGAGAAAAGGAGGCTAGTTTGTATCTTTTTGGTTTCCAGGTAAGGATAAATAACTTAGTTTTTAAACATCAAAATGATACTAATTAAGTTAGTTTTTTTTATAGGAAAATTTTTATTACTAGTTCATCCTATTTTAAAGTTAAATTACATAAACTCAATATATAGCCAAAAGTAAAACAAATTTTCTTTTGATTTTAAGAATTAAATTACATCCACTACTTCATGTAATAGCAAAGAGGAAAAAGATTTTTTTTTTAATTTTTTTTTTTTATTTTTTTTTTTGAAGAACTAATAATATATGATTAAACAAAAACACTTTATGTGTTTTCATAATGTTGCACCACTTAACTTTTAAGGAAGTTTTTCAAATATTGCACCATACCCATTTTAGAAAAATAAACACTTCTTCTCACACTGCAAATATTTAATAATATACCCTTATTTTTTAACACGTACTTGTTTTTTTTTTTTTTTTTATTTCTTATAATCACATGGGAAAAAATTTCCTCTGTCTCTTTCTTTTTCCCACAACAAAAAATATAAATAAAGAAATAGATTAAATTTTTACCCTCTCCTTATAGTGCAATATCAAAATAATAGAGGAAGTATAAGTTCTAATGTACCAAATTTTTTATGAAAATAGGTAAACTTTTTTTATTTTCATACATTAATAATTTAATTGTTTTTTTTTTTCCTTATAATGAAATGAACTAAAGAAGGTAATTTTTTTTTTTTTTTTAAATGATCATAACATATATTTTAGGGGATCAAGGGAAGAAAAATACAAAAGTTAGGGCATCAAAGTTGAATTATCAAATCATTGGACTTAGTGAAATATAGTATAAAAACTAGCTAAGTACAATTATCATTTTTCGTTCTTGTATTTGTATATAAATTCATCCCAGGTTGTTGGTTACAATATCAAATATACAATAAGATATTAAGTGTTGAGCAAATTAATAATCAATATAATTGGATGGAGGGGTTGGATGGAGGGGTTGATTATATATTATGAAAAGGATTAATCATGATGTTATTTTAAATTGAAAGTTGAAACATATGTATCTAGTATCTACAATTCTACATGAAACGGTAAATAAAATTATTTTTTTATATATATTTCGTAAATGGTAGAAGTATTTGTTTAATATAGATATGTGCTAATGTGCTATCATATTACAAAATATTATTATTGTATTTATGAGAGATTTTTATTAAGGGATGGAGTAACTCATGAGCTTTTAATTAGGAAGATTTTTTTTTTTTTTGCAAAGAGATGAATGACTTTATTTAATATTTCGTATATAGTATATCTTCTAAATTGACAATAAATTAGGAATGCATGATAGAATTATGCAACGATTTATAAATTTTATGTCTAATTTCACTTAAGGTTAGATGTGTATGTTTCATTCACTTGATATTCTATTACTTATTATTTAAATTATTTGAACTTATCTAAGCTATGACAATATCTAAACTTATATAAGCTACTAAGTAAGAAGTATTTATATTAGTTGTATATTGAAGTAACAGTTTGGGTTTTCTTTACACCCAGAAGTAAACTCACGTGTCAATTAGTTAGGTTATTAAAAAAAAAAAATTGATTAATTTAGACATGAGATCGATATTGTTTTTGATGTCGGGTTTTATTATTATTGCAGGAGATATGGACACTTTGTAGAATATTCAAACGAAACAAAAGGCACACACCTGATTGGAGGGAATTATCTAACAAAAAGAATGCTATAAACTCAAGCTCAAAAACAAGCAGCATTGATTCTAACACTAATCAAGAATGTTACATTAACTTTGCAACTCATCAATCCTCAACACCTAACAATGGCTATAGTAATCTTTTCATCCCCAAAGAAGAGGATAATACTAACAATGTTTGCATAGGAACTCAAAATATTACTACAGGTGATGAAAAAAACGCACATTTTCAAGCAGATCATCAGCAACAATTGAGTCATATGGCTCATACTCCTTCGTGTACAACACGGCCGAGCATGTTGGATCATGTTCTAACAAATGACGGGAATGATTTGCAGTATTTTGCTTATTATGAGCATAATTGGGATGATCTTAATTCAGTTGTAGAGTTAGCTGTGAAAAACCCTTTTTTGTAAGTATATTACATAACATATGGTTTATATAATAGGATAGGAAAGTTACAATATGTATAAATTAAACTTTTGGATTTTAATTTGCTCTAAGGAGAATTTTTGTACTTATAAACTTCTAATTTTTTTTCTTTAGAAATTATTAATATTGCTATGTTGATGTACTAGGACTCGTATATATTCGGGAGTGCCATGCATTATGTATGCAGGAACACACACGCTTACCTTTTCTTTCTTTTGTCAATCGAAAGCTCATTTCAAATTTTGACTCATTTTTTTTTCCTACGCTACTCTCTTTGTTTTGATGAATTTTAATTCATAGCAAACCAAAATTTGGTGAATTTGCTAATCTCATTGTTTTGACGAATTTTAATTCATAGCAAACCAAAATTTGGTGAATTTGATCACAACGGACGCATCGTGTACGTAATTACACTTTTTGTTTTCTTTAATGATGTGCATTAATCTTATTCTTATTGACAGATTGGAGAGGCGATGTCCATTAAAACAAGCTTCTTCTTTTTTTGACAAATAAAACAAGCTTCTTATACAATTTGTATACTATTCCCTCTTAAAACTTCTCTGCTTTCACATGTTTATTAATGTACATTTTAATAAAATCTTTTTTTTTTTCTTTTTTGTATGTATTCCTTTTATAAAAGTGCATTCTCTAATCTTACTTGGAAATCTATATGATCACTTCACTAGGCAAAAAATGTATATGAGCACCGGTTTAAAACCCCCCTTTAGCACCGGTTTTGAACCGGTTTAGATTTGAGGGATGCCAAAAACTAGAAGCATTCGCACCGGTTTAAAACCGGCGCCAATTCTTAGATTTCGCACTGATTAACCGATGCTAATTTATATTTTTGGCACCGGTTAACTGGTGCTAAAAGTCTCTAGCCGCACTTTTTTTTTGTGGTATTAATAACAATTGGCACCGGTTCGGTTCAAAACCGGCGCCCTTAATGCCCCAAAAAAAATAAAAAATAATTTTTTTTTTTTTTTTTTTTTTGCATTTTTTTCACTTCAATTGATATATAAACACTAACATATATATAAAGTTACATATTTTCATTAAAAAAGGTTGTAATATTACAATTTTCGTCCAAAAAAAAATGAAAAATTACAATTTTAGAAAGATCAAAATAGCAGAACAGCAGCAACACAGTAGCAGAGTAGCAGTAGATATAGAGCAGAACAACAGCAGAGGCATAGCAGCAGAACAAAAAAAAGATTGCCAAACAAGCACCTGTTTCCTTCATCCAAAAGAGTCTCTTTCTTTTCCTTTGATTCCTTCAGCTTTTGCTTCTTTGTTAGGTAGTTTCCAAGCATATAGGAAAGCAAAGGTAGGAAGCTCTTGACAGAGTATACCCCAAGCAACATTAATCAAGGGACATAATCAAGGAACATATTCCAAGCAACATTAAACAATGGACATAATTAAGGGACATATTCCAAATAATATTAATCAAGGGACATTAAAAAGAAACATAATCCAAGATACTCAAGCACATATCACAGACACACCAACATCAATAGCAACAACAACATATCACAATTATACATCCCCTGGCCAGCAACTGATCACAGTTGCTGGCAACCATTTATCAATAAGCAACACACAATCCTCCATCTCAGTTAACAATAAATCAGAAATTTCATCAACAACATCAAGGTACATAATCCAATAAATTCAAGGGACGACAAATAAAAGGGCAATCAAGTTACCTAACCAAAGGAGCACCCTAATTTCTGCTTCATCCATAAAGCGATGAAGCATTCAAATTAGAGTTATCTACAATTAGGATGGGACACGCATCCTTAAAATTCAAAGAATGTATGCATTTAAAGGGACAATTCATCAACCACTTAGATCAAAATCAGAGAATAATCCATAATTAAGGCCAAAACCGAAATAAATTCATCAAAAAAAAGCCAAACCCGAAACTAATTCATAAAAAAATGGTTAAAACTTGTGATTTTATCAATTTATATGCATGACATGTACTACTCCGTACATGTTACGAGTAAAGTTAATTCAAAAATTCGCAAAATTCATCATCATTCCTCAACAAAAACCGAAATTCGTAAACAAAAACCTCACTTCATGCACAACAATAGCAACACAAGCTCAGCATAGGCAAAGGCAGAGACTCAACATGGTAACAACAACAACACAAGCTCAACATATGCAGTAATAATAAAGGAGGCTGACCAAAGGAATCAACATCAACAATGGCTGACCACATGAAGCAATAATAACACAGGCTACGCATAGGAAGCAACAACAACACAGGCTGAGGGACAGCAGCACAACCTAACCACAAGAATCAACTGCAATACAGGTTGACCAAAGGAACCGACAACAACACTAGCTGAGCACAGGAAGCAATAATAACATAGGCTAGGCATAGGAAGCAACAACAACACAGGCTGAGCATAGGAACCAACAACAACACAGGCTAGTCAAATGAAGCATTATCAACACATGGTAACCATAAGAAGCAACATTACCACACCCTGACCATAGGCATTCACAACAATATAGGTTGACCATTAGAATCAACATCAACATAGGCTGACTATAGGAACCACAACACAGAATGAGCATATGAAACAAAAGCAACAACACAGAATGAGCATATGAAACAAAAACAACACAGGCTGAGCAGAGTAATAAACAGCTACACAGGGTGGGCAAAGGAATCAACAATAACACAAGCTACACATAGTATGTAGACGGGAGATCTACCATGAACGGCTGTGGTGCAGGCATAATATGTCAGTATCCGGAAGGGGACAAATATGAATATGCGCTACGGTTCAAGTTCCAGGCCTCAAATAATGAGGCGGAGTATGAGGCTCTGCTAGCCGGTATCCGTATGTGTAAGGCAGCAGGAGCAAGGAAAGTTGACGCCTGCTCTGATTCTCAGTTGATCGTCAGCTAATACCATGGTGACTATGAGGCCACCCATCCGGCTATGATCAAATATCTGCAGGCGGTCAAAGACCAGGCTGGGACACTTGATGAATTTCATCTAAGTCAAGTTCCCAGGTTAGAAAATAATCAGGCGGATGCGCTGTCTAAGCTGGCATCATCCGCCTCCTATGATACGCCTAGGTCAATCTTCTGGGAAGTCATGGAAAAAAGAAGCATCGAACATGATCCCATTGGAATTCTTGACCAAAGCTCGACCTGGATGGATGTCATCCGGGCCTATCTGACAGACGGCACCGTGCCGGATGTCCCTTCAGAGTCGGCTGGATTGAAAAGCGAGCCGCAAGCTTTGAGATCCACTAGGGAGAACTCCTTAGAAAGGGTTATCTTCAGCCGCTTCTGAAATGTGTCACCCCTGAAAGGGGGAGGGAAGTACTAGAGGATCGGCACTCTCCCCCCCCCCCCCCCCCGGGCTTTTGTGCATCAGATATAGGCGGCAGAACTCTAGCGAAAAGGGCCAGGCGGCAAGGCTACTTTTGGCCGACTCTTGAGGCATACGCCATGGAAATGGTGAAGAAGTGCGACAAGTATCAAAGGTTCGGCTGGCTCATACACCATCCGGCTACTGCTTTGACGGCTATCTACAGCCCGGTTCCATTTACAAAATGAGGCATGGACATCCTGGGTCCACATACGCCTGCTACAGGCGGACGAAGATATATCTTGGTGGCTGTAGATTATTTCACCAAATGGGTTGAAGCAGAGGCGGTCAAGGGCAATAAAACAAAGGATGTCATCTCTTTCATCTGGAGGAACATCATCACCCAGTTTGGGGTACCTATGTCTATGGTCTTTGATAATGGCCCTCAGTTTGAAACGCCTACCCTCAAGAGCTGGTTAGGAGATCAAGGGATCTCACATTGTTTTGCATCAGTTGGCCGACCCCAAGCAAATAGCCAAGTAGAAGCCTTCAACAAGCTCATCTCAAACGGCATCAAAAAGAAAATTGAAAGGGTTGGCGGTCTATGGGCAAATGAATTGCCTCATGTCTTATGGGCTATCAGAACAACTGGTGAAACCCCGTTTCTCATGACATACGGCACTGAAGCCATCCTACCTATTGAGCATTACGAGAAACACTCCGAGTCATGCTTTATGATGAAGAGGCCAACTACGAGACCATGCGTCTAGCATTGGATTCACTCCCTGAGCGCAGGGGCAATGCCGCCTTGTGTCATGAGATACACCGTCTGAGAATGACCAGAGCCTACAACAAAAGAGTGTACAAGCGGCCCCTAAAAGTAGGGGACTTTGTGTTGCGTAAGATGGAGGAAACCGGTAGGGCCAATGAGCAAGGAAAGCTCACTCCTAATTGGAAAGGACCCTACCGGATCTATGAGGAAGTTAGAGGCGGCACCTACCGCCTGGAGACACCAGACGGTAGGCAGGTAGCCAGAACTTGGAATGTGGATAACTCGAAAAAGTACTACTTCTGAGATTTGTGTAAATTTTTGTAAATAAAGTATATTAATGAAGTAACTGTTTGCAGAACATTTTATTTGCTTTCTGTATATGTGAATCGTCTGTGCAATACGCAAACGGGTGTGTTTAATTTTTTCTATATCTGCTCCCACATGAGCAACATTAAGCTAAGTCCAAGGACCAAGCGGTTAGGTCGTCCTTTTATGACCAAACTCAGGAGGCCAATGGCCAGATATTACAGCTAAGTGCCTACTCCGACAGTAGGCACCCGACGACACCCCATTCAGGTGAATTCGTCGAGAAGAGCATCTCCCATTTGGGTGGTACATTGCTCTATAAACGAAAATACAAGCGGCCTAACAGAGTGTCTAGATTAAGATAACTCAACCGTTTGAAAGATTAATTGAAGCCTTGGCAACTTGTCTCCCGCCTGTTCCAATGCAACCAGAGACTGTTGATTTGGTTGGATAAAACCGTATGTTGCTCAAAGGCATCACAGACGGCTAATTTAAAGATTTAAGCCTAACCTTAGTGGCTAAGTCGCTTCTGCTCAAAGTACCTACACATGGTCTATGCCCGTCTGTCTAGCATTGAACTGTCTGCTAGGGTATGGGCAATATGCGGATAACAATCGTTTTCTAGTCGTGATGACTCATATCTAACTGGCCAAAATTGATTTACAAGGTAAATCACAGCCGGTGCTTTTTTAATTATCCCAGATGTCTGCTCAGTGTAAAATTCGACAATAATCCACCAAGCATACATCCGTCCAGGGGCAAGTATATCTAGGACATCCGGATGACCGCATGGAAACAGCTACTTGGCAAAAATTAGCAAAAAATGCAACATGCGAAAATTCAATGGAATTGTAAAAAATCGAAATCAAACTTGAAAAAACCGACACAGTCAGCAAATAATCATTAATCAAACCCGACCAGAAGACCGGGAGCAAATTGTTGACCAGATGCACATCCGGGAGAAAAAAAAAAGAACGTTGTTAAATTACAAAGATACACGGCGCGTAGGCTGGAGAAGGGAATAAAATAAGAAAGCTTAAACCTGAGGAGGCGGGCGAAGCGCGTCTGTGGCGGCTGCCTTTGGGGCAGGAGTCTCCTGATCTTCTGTTTGGTCCTCCTCCTCTCTATCAAAGCCCGCCTCAGCCTGCATGGCCTCAATCTCCTTCTTCGCCCAGTCCTCATAT